AGCGCTCGTTGTAGTAGATGAACAGGCGGCTCGGTGTGAAGTCCGCAAAGTCCTTGTGGTTCTCCACCGTCATCTTGTGCAGGGTGAAGTGGAAGGCGGCCGCCAAAGCGTTGGCTGTGCAGCTGCCCAAGTGTCCCTGGTCGAAGATGGGGAAGCCACCGTTCTGAGGGCGAAGGTCAATGATCTCCTTCTCTCCTTGCCCAAAGACAGATAATTGTATGTGCGAGAAAGCAAAGCTAGTAACAAGGTCAGAAGTACCCCTGAGGCTGCACATGTCCACTGCAAGTACCATTCTTAGACTTTACGGCCCATGCGGGCACCATGTATGGGAAGTTGCAAATGCCACTAGACTTTAGGGACCCATGTTCCATGTTCCATGTAGGTACCGTTTATGGATGCTGCAAGTACAAATTATAGACTTTAGGGCCCCATCTAGGTACCATTTGCGGACGTTGCAAATACCATTCATAGACTTTAGGGCCTCAAATGTGGGTACCATTTATGGACGTTGCAAGTACCATTCATAGACTTCATGGCTCGCGTAGGTACCATAAACCCTATAGACCCTAAACCCTATGGACATTTAGCCCCGGGGCACGTATAATGAACAAAACCCAGATGGCGAGCCTTTCCCTAAGGGTCCAAGGACTCAAATATAAGGGTACTAGGGCCCAAATGCCTTACTGTTATTGATATTTGGGCCCTAAAACCCTATTATTTGGGTCCATGGACCCTTAGGGTTCGAGCCTCACTATGCCCCGGACCATCCTCTAGAGTGTTTAGGGTTTATAAAGTTTAGGGTTTACGTAGGGTTTTAGAGTTTAGGGTTTAAGATTTCAGGTTTTAGGGTTTGGGGCTTAGGCTCTTCCTGGAATTCCCTCAAACTGTTGAAAATTCGTATGTTTTTGGGGTGAGTCCAGGGTACCTACATAGGAAATACTTGCAACTACAAGGCCATAAGGGCAGTTCCTACTACAATAACCGGACTTTGTACTTTGTATACTTGCACTTTTTGTCACTTTGGGACAATATACAGAACTCACAACATCTGCCGAATCAGAGACAATCGACCCTCAGATCGCTTCTTGATGTGGCTGGGAGCGTCCACCTTGTCGAAGGTTACTCGATGGTCACGATGGTCCGGCATGTCCGGCCGCCATCCGAACTTCATGTTGGTTCGCAAGGGGAGGGACTTTGCGTTCGGATGCAAGGATTCGACCGCGATCTCGGCGCTCTCGGCATTCACGACGCTGGCATTGCAATTGCCCATGGTTGGCAACAAGAATATCAGCGCAAAGGCGTGAAATCGCACGATTGCTCAACTTTCTGCCCTGAGCCAAAAGTATGAGATGGTTTAGGGCTTCTGGCGTGTAGGGAATATAGGGTTTAGGGATTGCAAGGCGGACATGATTTGCCCTTCGTCTTCGTGACCTATCTGCTGAAACTTTCCAAGACTTTCCCATATGAGCTATAATCTAAACTCTTAGTATCCACATTAATATCCCATGTAATAACCACCTATATAATCTCCTATATACCCCCCCTTCAAGGAGTTTAGACTAGACCTCATACAGGCACGGCTTCACCGTGAGATGCGTGCTCTAGCATGTGCCTTCAGGTTAATCCCTCCTCAGTACACGGGGACATGGGTTTAGGTTCAGGGTTTAGGGACCCGCGATTAGGCCCGAAGTGCCGACATTACGGGCCCTATATGGGGGTTGTCCAATAT